TTTTTAGTAAGCTGTAAGAGGAATACTATGTGTGTCAGTGAACACACTCACCTGTGGACCTTGTAACCTACTTGCATATGCCCCCTTTTCACTCCTTCCACATACTGAGAAGCTCTGTTTTATTGACCTAATGGAACTTTCGGAATAGAAACAAAGACTGAGTTCAGTAAAAATGTATCGTCTTGGTAATTGAAGCTGTCCCTTTAGAAATGCCAAAACACACTGTTTAATCCTTTTAAAATGTTCTTTTTCTTTATTAACTTAAACCATATAATTTAGGTTTTTTTTTTTTTGTTAACTGAACATTGTCATTTTCATTATACGTGTGTATACCTTATGTGCACATGTTTCCATACCTCCTGTGCTATTGTGTATAATCTAGCCTCTCCCTGCTTTGTTATATCTTCAGTGATTGTTTCTCTTGCTTTTATAGTGACTGCTGCTGACGACTTGCTTGTCCTTCTGGAATTTGGACTGTGAAATCTTAGTTTTAAAATGTAGATCTTGGCTTTGTCTTAAAATAAAAAGATTTAGTCATATGGAAAACTTCTACAGCTAGGGGCAAATTTGGACTAGAACTCAGGGCTGATGAGCTTCATCCCTATGCTGCTTTTGTCTGTCTTCTCTGCTCCTAAATTTTAGTATCAGTTTCTAGATTTAAAATCCTTTGAGAACTAATCCTTTTATTGGAGAATCATTTAATAGAGAATAAAGTTCTAAGTTAGTTTTATTATATACTATAGTACAGACACTATAATTTTACTTTTTAAGTTATTCCCATCCCTAATAAAGATGACTGTAGGTGAACATTTTAGCATGGGATTTATAACAACCAAATGATTTGTATCAGAAAACACTAATACTCTCTGTAAAAACACAAAAAACCTGTTGATAACCTATGACACTGTAGTATTGATCAGAAATACTTAATATTCAGATACCACTTAGAGCAGCGCTTCAGCTGGAGTTATCTTTTTATATTTTGTTACCCCATTTCTACCTGAAGGAGTTGGAGGAGTAGACTAGTGGGTCTTTGGTGTTATTGGAGGAGAAGAGTCTGCCCTAGTCCCAGAGGAATGCAGGAGTGGTGTGGGAAGGTGATAATTGGCCATTGTCCCAAAGCAACAGGGGATGGATACCAACAAGCCATTGCATGGACCACTTCTTTTTGTGTTGAGACCTTTGTCATCTTTTTTCTTGTTTGACTTGTGCTGGGTCTGGAGTTAGACCATATCAGCACAAAACATAAATAGTGACTTATAAAAAGATTCTCTAGGAATGCCTACTTTCCCCTAAGTTACATTCAGGTCTATTGCTTGACTCTTGGACACTTAACTCTTAAGTGTTTTACTACAAATACGCCCTATAGAAGAGTCCTTTGGGTTATGGGAGACTTCACATAGTGATGAACTTGGCCATCCCCCTATACTTTCAATCTTAACATCTTACTGAATTTTAAAATGTAATTATAAAATGAAAAAATGCAGACTTTATTAAAGAGATTTATTGCAGCTTCAAAGTCCTGGGTTCAAGTGATCTTCCCACTCCAGCCTCCCGGGTAGTTGGAACTATAGGCGTGTGCCACAGTGCCTACATGATTTCTTCATTTTTTGTAGAGAGAAGGTCTTGTTGTGTTCCCCAGGCTGGTGTTGAACTCTTGGCCTCAAGTCCTTCTTCTCCTTTGGCCTCCCCAAATGCTAGAATTACATGTGTGAACCATAGCACTTGGTCTTAAGAATTTGGGAAGAAGGGAAGGAAAGAGCCTCAAATCTCTGATTATAAAAGACCCTAATCACAGAAGTGAAATTAGGTAGAAAAAGGGCAAAAACTGGAGAATTTAAAAGAAACATTTACTAAGTTAAAAATAGTGGAAACACCACTTTGAATGCAGGAAATGTATTTGTACTTGTTTCTATTTTATTGGAAAGCCTCATTTATAGGTGAAGGGGAAAAAAGTTTAAACAAATGAGTTCTTGTTTTTGAAATAGAAATAAAATACTATAATAGCGTTTAGTCCATTTAAAAGACTCAGCAGTGTCTGAACAAAATGGGGTAAGATGTTAGCATATGCAATAATTTCATTAGACAGGACTGTTTAATTGTCTTCAAGTGGAACAAGATTGGACTGGCTTGGGAATGCATCTCAGTGGTACTGTCCATGATCCATGTGCTTCCCGCCTCTTCCTCCACAATCTCATGCTTTTTAATTTTTTTGTCCTCCCTTAGTGTAAGAGAAAGGTATGCTCATCTTTGTAAATTTCTTGGATAATTTGAGTTCCTTTAAGTCTTCAGATATTATTTTAACCTTATTTTTAAGGTCAAAATAAATCATAAATTTCTATTACCATTTTTGTATGTGTACAATACAAATTTTTAGGGTGGCGCCTGTGGCTCAAAGGAGTAGGACACTGGGCCGGTGGCCTGGTCAAACCTGGCACCGGCCAAAAACTGC